TTAGTGATCTAAATGTATGTGTAGAATGCATTAAAGGAAAGCAAACTAAGCATATATTAAAGAAATCAGCCACTAGAAGCACTCAACTCTTAGAACTTATTCACACTGATATTTGTGGTCCATTCGACGTTCCTTCATGGGGCGGTGAAAAGTATTTTATCACCTTTACAGATGACTTCTCACGTTATGGTTATATCTATCTACTGCATGAAAAGACTCAATCATTGGAATATCTAAAGATATACATTGATGAGGTGGAAAGGCAGTTAGATAGAAAAGTGAAAGTTGTGAGATCTGATCGTGGGGGTGAATATTATGGTAGGTTCAATGAAAGAGGACAATGTCCTGGTCCATTTGCAAAGTTTCTCGAGAGTCGAGGCATTTGTGCACAATACACTATGCCTGGGACTCCTCAACAGAATGGTGTTGCTGAGAGGAGAAACCGTACTTTAATGGATATGGTTAGGAGTATGTTGAGTAATTCAACATTACCGTCATCTATGTGGATGCATGCATTAAAGACTGCTGCATATTTGCTAAATAGAGTTCCTAGTAAGGCAGTTCCTAAGACACCTTATGAACTGTGGACGGGTAGGAAACCTAGTTTGAGGCATCTCCATGTTTGGGGGTGTCAAGCAGAAGTAAGGTTATATAATCCACATGAAAAGAAACTTGATCCTAGGACAGTCAGTGGTTTTCTCATTGGCTATCCGGAAAAGTCTAAAGGATATAGGTTCTACTGTCCTAACCATAGTACGAGAATAGTTGATTCCGGCAATGCTCGGTTCATTGAAAATGATCAAATTAGTGGGAGTTTGGAACCGCGAAGTGTGGATGTCAATGAAACTCGGGTTGAATTGTCCAAGCCCGAGAGTCCATCAACGGTTGTTATTCCTCTAGTCGCAGTACCGTCACGCAACTTAGATGAACAACAGAATGATCCAAACTCATTTGATAATGAACCGGTCACTAGCAATCAAGAGATTATAGAACAACCTGTGGTAGATGCATCACAAGTTTCCAATGATCCATATAATGAAGTGATAGTGAGACGGTCGATAAGGGAAAAACGACCTGCTATCTCTGATGACTATGTGGTTTATTCTCTTGAGAGTGAATGTGACTTGAGCATGGATTTAGATCCAATGTCGTTTAAAGAAGCCATGGAAAGTGTAAATTCTGAAAAGTGGATCAATGCCATGAAAGAAGAATTAAAGTCAATGGATGACAATAAAGTCTGGAATTTAGTAGAATTACCTGAAGGGTCTAAGAGAGTCGGGTGTAAATGGGTTTTCAAAGCCAAACGCGACTCTAAAGGTAATATCGAAAGATATAAAGCTAGACTTGTTGCTAAAGGATACACCCAAGAGGAAGGCATTGACTACAAGGAAACATTCTCTCCGGTTTCGAAGAAAGATTTCTTGAGAATTGTATTGGCAATGGTAGCTCATTATGACTTGGAGCTTCATCAAATGGACGTAAAGACTGACTTCCTAAATGGAGAATTGGAAGAGGAAGTTTATATGAACCAACCAGATGGTTTTGAGATCACAGGAAAGGAAAATCTAGTGTGTAAGTTGAATAGATCGATATATGGACTAAAGCAAGCCTCTCGACAATGGTATCTCAAGTTCAATGATATCATCACTGCTTATGGTTTTGTAGAGAATACCGTGGATCGGTGTATCTACATTAAGGTCAGTGGGAGTAGGTTCGCTATTTTAGTTTTGTATGTTGATGATATATTGATAGCTGCTAATAATGTGGACATGTTGCACGAAGTAAAGCATTATCTCTCTAAAAAATTCGAAATGAAGGATATGGGTGAAGCGTCCTTTGTTATTGGAATAGAAATATTCCGGAATAGATCACAAGGACTTTTAGGTTTATCACAGAAAAGTTATATTTCGAAAGTTTTGAAGAGATATAAAATGGATGGTTGCTCTGCAGGAGTGGTTCCAATTCAGAAAAGGGACAAGTTTAGCCTTAAACAATGTCCGCAAAGTGAAATGGAACGAAAAGAGATGGAGATTATTCCTTATGCTTCTTTAGTTGGGAGTTTGATGTACGCACAGACCTGTACTAGGCCTGATATCAGTTTTGCCGTTGGTATGCTGGGAAGATACCAAAGTAATCCCGGACTTGATCATTGGAAGGCTGCGAAGAAAGTTCTTAGGTATTTACAAGGCACCAAAGAACACATGCTTACTTATAGGAGATCCGATTCGTTTGAAGTGATCGGATTCTCGGATTCGGACTACGCTGGATGTGTGGATAGTAGGAAATCAACATTCGGCTACTTGTTCCTAATGGCTGGAGGAGCAGTATCATGGAAAAGTGGAAAACCGTCCATCATTGCGACTTCCACGATGGAGGCTGAATTTGTGGCATGCTTTGAGGCCACGATTCAGGGCTTATGGCTACGGAACTTTATCTCAGGACTTGGAAGTGTCGACATCTTGTCCAAGCCGCTGAGTATTTATTGTGATAATTCCGCAGCAGTATTTTTCTCAAAGAACGACAAGTACTCAAAGGGTGCAAAACACATAGAGTTGAAATACTTGGTCGTAAAAGAAGAAGTGAAGAAACAAAATATGTCATTTGAGCACATTAGTACTGATTGCATGATAGCGGATCCATTAACTAAAGGGTTAGCCCCAATAGCCTTTGCAAGGCATGTAGAAAAAATGGGGTTAACGCATGGGGCCTTGTTGTATTGATACTAGTTTTTGTTGCTCAAATTATTTAGACATTTATTGAATTCAATTATAGATATTTTGTTCTTCACATATGACATCATCATTATAGATATTCGATTTTTATAAGTATGTACATAAATGTTGGATGACTTATAGTTATGGTACGAATGGTTTGTCCCATATTAAAGTAAAGTTGAAATAGAAATGATTTGTGGTACATGGAAGGGATCATGTCGCTCGAAGACTTGTGACCGCCATGACTCGGTTAATTTCTATTTTAATTTTAAACTTATAAGTATATGTATTCAATTATAAGTTTGATGAAAGGTGCGCGCTTAAAGTAGTTCTTTGGGTTTCGGCACTTATATGGTCCAAGTGGGAGAATGTAATAATATTTTAATATATTATTCTATTATTGTGGACCATATAAATTAATTGGACCTAATTGAATTAATAGTCAAACTTAATTACGGTGAATATGTATTTAATAGATTATTTAATGTTCTAATATTAAAGAGTCTAATTTGTGATGTTTGACTTGGACAGTAAGTTAGGTTAGAACATGGGGAATGTTAGTGGGATTAGGATTGTAAGTCTCATCTTCCTATACCCCTCTCTCCCATCTCATACGCAAATAAAGTTCTCAACATCAAGGGCTTTGTGAAAAGACGAGAGAAGCGGGAGAGAGAAACATAATCCTCGATCGGCCAGACATACAAGAACAGGGAAGGAGTAATGGATTCTTGTAAGTTTCTATGTGCAATTTAATTTATGCAAAAGATCCATGTTCTATGAATTGATAGAATTACATGTTTAGGGTTTATTCAATTCCGCTTAATTGTTATGAATATACCCGTTAAATTTCTTACAAGTTAAGCCAAGGAGCTGCAACAACATTCAAGTCATGGTGGGGTGATGTGTGCTCTGTGAGCCGGTTGGAAGTGGCTGAGGCCAGAATTGAGCTCACCACATACTTCTTGGGGTGGCTTTTGGAAAGCCCGGAACCTTTGGGTGTTTAGGAAAGAGTGGATGCCAGCATCAAAATAGCATCAAGAGAATGGCAGGAGTATGCTAACAGGAAAAGAGAAGTAAGCTCAGTGTCATATTGAGGCGTCTAGGTTCTTTCTTGATTCAGTGGGCCCTCTTCATGTATGAATGACTTTCTTGTATTTATTCCTGGTTAGTGTACTAGTTGCTTAGTTATTGTGTATGATGTGTCATTAGTTGTGTATTGTTAGCAGTACTAGGCCCATGTTTGCTAAATGGGATGGGATTGGACAAAAATAATACCATATTGTGGGATTGGACTGTTTGAATTATTTTTATGTTGTGTTTGTCATGTTGGATAGTTGTAGGATAAGTTATTTGTTTAAAAAATTGAAAAAATGAATTCATCCACATAAATGATGGAAAGTACACTTTTGCCCTTAAAAAATCAGATTTAATTCAGTTCCAATATCTCGATTTTTCACCTCAATAGATTGACAAATTGTTTTATTTTCTTTATTGATAACCCACTATGTGGACGATCTAGACGATTTCGAATTGAACAAGTATCATAAAGGATACAAATATTAGCAAAAAGGGAACAATATTCTTCATAATCAGTCCCAAAATCATCATTCCAGATTGTGCACTTTGTTGATTCAATAATAAATATGAAGCTATACACATAAAAGACTCTAACTGCAACCAAAGTTAATTTTATTATGGTGTTTCAATGTACAGATAGAAATACAGACATACACATATGTGATTTTATTTTTCTACAGGACATAACATCTTTCTTATGGAAAATTTGTTAGATAACAGACCGGCCATAATTTGTTATTCAAATAGAACTTGTGCTCTCTACTTCAGTGTCTTCTTAAACTGAAAAATCAACATTCTTTAAATCCTGCACCAAAAATCATAAACATAATATAAATCTAGTTACAGAGAATGCTGGAAAACAAACACAACAATGGTTATTGAAGATCAATGTATCAAATTTTTTAAGCTTAAAATACAATGTACATGACATAGAAAGCCAATAATACATGTTTCTATAAATTCTGAAAATTAGGTTTTTTAAAAAACGATTCGTAACAAATGAAAGAAAAATGTCCATAAATGATATATCAAATTGGAAACATAACAAAATTTAAATAATTAATTCTAATATGAATACAAATGCCCAACATTTGCGGATCTGCTTAGGGTTAAAACATGAACTAAGATTCAAAGAGAAGAGTTTATATTTCATAACAGTAGAGTGAAAAGAAAATCAGAACGGAAAAAGTACCGTTCTCAAGGTCGGAGATGGGTACGGGTTCTGCAGATGCACCGAAAATGTCACCTAAGTACCCCAGATCGATCCTTCACGACGAAAATGAAGCTGGAATCGAAATATCTGTTCTTGGGGCTAGGGTTCGTAAAATGTCGAGCTGCGTTATGAGGATGGAAGACCAAAATTTTGATTATATATTGGCAGGGCAGTAATTTGTGTAGTAGAGAGGGCCAAAGTGGTCCGAAAATGATATAAATGAGGGCAAATTGGACTTTACACTTCCCAGGATTGGTTTAATCCCACCAAAAAGAGGGGATGGAATTATCCCAATTTCATGGGATAAAGCAGCTTTTGTCCCGGGCCGAGCACTTCATCCAGGGCCGGAATCCTAGTAACCAAACGTGGGATTAAGTCAGGATAAAGCGGGATATCCTGCCTAATCCCAGAAAGCAAACAAGGACTAGGGGTATTAGAATTCCACTGGCACTAGTATGTGCATGCTATTGTTGGGATGGTTAGGCATTGCATAGTTGGTATTGCAGGTGGTTCAGGTGGAATTTTTGTTTAGAGCACGGGTTGTAGTGTCTCTCCAATGAGAGTCAATTGACTCCCAGATTTGTAATATTTGTACATTTCGTGATATAAAATTCTTTCGTTTGAAAAAAAAAAAATAAAGATAGGCGACCGTAAATTCTTTCGTGATATTTGTACATTTGTAATATTTTGTTCACACCGATTTTTTCTCCATTTTTATCTCTATCTACCTCACCCAAATATTTTCTAAAGATTGGAGAATCACCATCGAAAATTAGCAACATCCGACGAAGAATTTAGAAGCTCGTTGCGAGCCGACCTGGTGAACTCTCTTCCTACGCAAAACCTAGCTTCGTGTTCTGTAGCTTCGCGCCCGCCGTGTCGGAATTGTATCTGATTCGCGCCACTCTCTTTCTTTGCAACAGAATCGGGCCTGATATCACCGAATCCCTCAAACGGGTATGAAGAACATGGCCCGTTGATCTATATTTATCATTGAATATTATTTTTGTATTTAATCATTTTCGTTTCGTCTCAGTTTCTTTCTGTATGTTTTAGGGTCATTTTTTAATTGTTTCATATTTTTGTTTCTGGATTATCCTTAGCTTTTACAAGAGGTCGCAAAATTGGAGTTCAAGTATCAGCAATGACAATAGCAGTGGTGGAGGAGGGCGGCTATGAACGACGACATAGGAGATGGCGTCCCGAGGTTGCCACCCCTGCCGGGAAACAGCATAGAGGTGGGTTCAACATCGACAAATCGGAGAGCGGGGGATTGGGACTGGGGACGGAAGGACAACACAGAGGATGATGGCGAAAATGGGTTGGAAGCAAGGACATGTTTAAGAAAGCAGGAGCAATGAATTAGGACGCCTCTTGTGGCCAAGAAGACGGATAAGAGAGGTGCGGTTATCGTGAATGCCAGCGAGTCGAGCAAGAAGGTGAAGAGCGTTAGTTCAAAGGGACTCCCACCCGAGTTGTGCTTCTAAGAAACATGGTATGGATTTCTTGTTTTCAGGATTAAGTCTGCTCAACTGGTTATGGTGTTATTATCTCCTTAATTAGCTTATTTAGCTCTGTATTGTGATATTTTTTATCTCATTGTCATTTAAGTAAAAGTTCAAACCGATTTCTGAGGAGTGAAGTTGAACACTGGTAGAGATGAATTGTATTGTTGCTATCGTTGAGTTAGATGAAGCGGCCAAAATCGTGGTACCAGATATATTTGTTGTCCTTAATGATGAGGTTTGGGATGTAAATTGTTTGTATAACATTTTATAAAAAGATGAAACCATTTTTTAAGCTTGGATATATTGTCTCATGGTTAATCTGTATTATTTTTTGTCTGCAATTGTGAAAACTATTCAGCTCCGGATAGGTGTCAAGTGACTTGCTCTGCATTCACAGTTTGCTCACAAATAGATCTGCAAGTGTAGCGCGTGTACAAGTCATTGAAGACTGGCTATAGCCGTAAAATCGCACCGCATGAAGTTGCGTTGCTCCTGTCCTGACTGGTACCTTCCGCCCCCACTGCCCAACTTCTCTGTCTACCAACCACTGCCCTCTGTGGACTACTCCTGCCACCTTCCCCAATCCATCGTACTGCTACAACTGAAACAATCGGCAGCAAGTGCAAAGCATGGCCCTCAAATTCTACTTGCTTTTCCCAAGGATTGAGAAAGCGTACGGTGAAAAGTAAGGGTTCTGATGTATCCTTTCCATCCCTCCCAATTTGATTGTTCTTTTGTAATCTTTTTTATCGATTTGAACTTTAGATTTTGGATCGATGCTCGATCGAGGGATATGAAAATTTCAGCTGTCTGCCTTAGAAGAATCAAAATTCCGGCAACAGGATCGAGGGTCTGATGAACGATGATGACGATGGTTATTCACCTTCTACTTGCGTTTCATCCAACTCCTCTCGCACTTCCCAGTTTGGCCCTGCATCCTAAACAAAGGTGGGGAAGAAATTTAAAATAACAAAAAGAAAAAACACTTAGGTGACAATTTAAGCATACATCTTCAGTTACTATGTATCTTGATAAATGATTCACTATGTGCAGATTTTTGTCATAATTCCAACTAATGAATGATGAGCTCGAGAGTGGTCAAGCATAGAATCAGCCCTTTGATGGTTGATATCCATGAAACAACTCTTTCTTGCACTTTGGAGGACCTTGATAGAAGGAATGGGACAAACTGGGCTTCGAACTCGTGCTTTCCAGTGCAAGATTTGAAGAGTGGTAATAATATTAACAGTGATATAAATATCATTAATTATAATAATCATTATTCTATAATGGTGAGGACAAGAACGAAAAAGGTGATGTGTACTTTGATTCCAATGGCACAGAGCTACGATACTTTCGAGGTTTAGTAATGTGGATGTTGATTATAATAAGAATGGAGGAGATGATCATGGAACTATGAAGCTGGTCGAGAGAGATAAAGCAAGCAAAACTGTTACAGACAAGAAAAAGAAGTGTCTTGTCCATAGACACAAGCTTTTAAAATTCCCTCATTTTTAACACAAACGATTTTCTCCCAGGCTCGAACGCAATTCGGAGGTATGTCGGGTTTTTGAGTTGTTGGGTCTGTGGGTCATGTTATACTATCATATTTGAATTATGGTGAATTGTCTTTGATATTAGTTTCTAGTCGATTAATGTAGAGATTGAAGATTGTTTGGGGAACTCTTTCTCACTCTCGCAAGTAAATTGTTGTTTCTTTCATCCTTTTAAGTTTGATAATTTGTTAATTACATAGGTGTACACTGCATTAGAAAGGGCGGAAACTCATTTGATGTTTCTCGTGGGCACTTATTAATCAAATGCATATAGATTCATAAAATGCTTCTTTTCTCTCACCTTTTCCNCGATTGTGTGAGTTTAAATTCTCTTCGGAAGTATAGGAAACAGGTGTTTGCACAGCCTATCAAATCCCGTGACCATCATATGAGATCCAATGGTTAGATTTTTCTCTTTTCAAATTGAGTTTTCACACAAGTTCTCAGACTTCACACTATTCTCTCAATTGCATATTTATTCATGCTTTATGCTGCAGCAAGGTGCAGCAAAGCCTAAAGGACCACTGGAGGCTCTCCGGCCAAAGCTACAGGTAGTTCTTAATAAGTTAACTACAAGGAATTTTATTTGCATTACAAATTCATATAGCTCCAAGGTTACCACTGACTTCAATTTTTTTTATTGGTCAAAACATGGTGGATTTTTCACATATTATTTGTAAAAAAACTCCTTTTAAAGCCCTAGCCACTACCATTTGTGCTTATATTTTCCCCAATTTATCGTGATCGAGGTACTTTTATGATGGACAGAGGTGAAAGTTCTATCTGATGTACCAAGTTTTGGTGTGTGAATATGCTGTTGGGCAAAATTGTGATCATTTCTCAGCAGGTAATTGATTGTTTGCCTTTTTGTTGTTGATTTGTATAGCGTTATTTTCTGGTGTTGTGTTCACGTTAAGAGTGATTTTTCATCCACTTGATGAGGTACCTATTCCTTTCTTAGCTTACAAAATGAAATACTTACTAGAAGTTTGTGATTCATAATATATCATGTGAACTATGTTTTCATTTGATTTGTGTGGAGAGTTCATCTAAAATGTGGATTTGTATTTATTATAGAGGGACTGTAAGCACAAAATAGTAGTTGGTGCTTGTAATATTTGAAGATTAGTATGCATAGACTGATATGTGTTTTCGTTTATTCTCTCGAATTTGAAATTATCTAAGGTTGATTGAAGGATTTACTGAGGGATTTGAAATTCATAGATTTCAAATTAACAAGTTCAGATCCTCATGGGATGGTAATGGAAGTTGGAGGATTTCAAATTCATGCTAGATGTTTTTTAGTCATTATTTTAAAGGATTTTATGACCCTCAAACCTAGTCATTTGAAATCCACCGTTGACGGCTACGCCATCCGCGATCATTTAGGTTTATCACCACCGTGAGCTAGACAATTGATTTATAATATTTTCAACACATCCATTCAAGGAGTGTGCAAGTAAAAAATTTATATTTCAAAAATTTTGAAATCAAGGGATTTCAAATCCCTCAAAACAAACGGAGCCTAAAGAGAATTTAGTGTACCGCAATATAGGATGTAAATCGTCAATCACTAGGATCAGCACTCAACCATGTTTTTCACGGAGGCATGTAAAAATTCATCCAGTATACTCATTTGGTTCTTATTTCGGGTCCTTGCGTTATGTGATCATCCTACTGTTTTGGATAAATCTTAAAGGTTTAATGTGACTCAGATCTTGTAATCCATCTTCTAAATTCAACTGTAAAATCTATAGAGGATGGTAAAACTGTTAATTTTGATTTATTATATTCATTCAAATTCACACTTTGATTGGGCCATGTGTTTATTTGTGGTTGATTTATTCCACAACTTTACCATTAACATTATTTTGATATCAATGTTGTTCTTCAGAAATTGCTAAAGTGCTGATGTAGAAAGAATCAATAAAATGTAGAATTTGGTAAATTAATATAAAGAATACATGAATGTTGTAGACCAAATTAATATTTTTCTCACATATATATTTCATTTTAATTTAAATAATTTAGAAATATAATCAGTTTTAATTTGATTTTGTATTAAGTGCATACATGTATGTATGTTTGATATATACCTTGATAGCCCTGAGAATTATGAACAGCTCGTGATGGATAATGTAAACACGTCTAAATTCTGGTTTTTCTGTTTTGCAAATTAGCCATCAACACTTTTGGTTTTTCTGACATTCTACCATGTTCATTGATTTGCACACCTTAGCCACTTTTTATGTCTAAGGTGTTTTGTATGTTTTTGTGGTTATTTTGTGTATTTTTATGTGTTCTATTTGTGTTCGTTTTATTTTATTTTAGATTTTTCCCGGTCCATTTAGTCGTATTTGCTCGTTTTTATGTTCTCGTTTCGTTTTGGTGTCTTAAGCTTTTTATTTCTCTTTTTACCTTCTATTTTGTTAGGAAACATGTTCCGGAAAGTCGACACTAGATTTACTGGAAAATGACGGAAAGTTACCTGAGACGAGGAGAAAAAGATTTGAGGAATGTGGGTCAAAATTTCAAATCATTCGGATAAGCGTGCAAGAAGTTAGAGCTAATCGAGCCTCGAAAATCAAGTAGAAGCCTAATTCTGCGCCCGTGAATCCATTTTCGCGAGCTGTTCAGAACTCGCGAGCTACTCTAGCCCGCGAGTTTTCCATTCCGCGCCCGCGAAAAGACCCTAGCCCGCGAGTTCGGCATGTGCATGGTCAGAGAACAAACTTCGAGCCTGCGAAAACGTTGCCCTATCCCGCAAATCACTGCTAAGCCGTGAGTTTCCTTTGCTTCCAGCGAAAACTACCCGCAAAAATCAAGTGCTAACTCGCGAGTTCGACCTAACCTGTGAGTTTGATTCATTTAATGTGTGTGTTTTTAGTGTGTGTTTGTGTGGTATGTATAAATAAACCTTTGTGTGTGTATTTTGGGACCATTCCCTCATTTCCCAACTTTAGAGTTGGGAAAAACCCTCTCTTCTCCTTCTTCTCTCTATATTTTTGTGCTTTGGTGTGGAGATACAAGGCTTGACATTTTCCGGCGACTTTTCTGGTAACTTTTCCGGTTATCTTATTTTTATCTAAAATTCGTTCTCTACGCATTATTTTCGTCCAATCTTGCAATAGGAAAATAGTTACCTTGATTAGGGCTTATTATTTCGAGTTGTGATTTGGTTGGAATGATGTGTTTATGTTCGATTTTGGGCTTTGCTTTATTTCCCTTGCTTGTTTGTGTGTGTTAGGGTTCGATACGTGCTTATCTAGTATAGAGGTCCCGACTTGCTTAAAGCGGGATGATCTAGAGTAGAAGGCTCGTGTTAGAATACCTAGAATCACTAAGCTAGCATGTTTTCTTTTTGTTATTTTTATTTTCGTCAAGCTATATAGACTCCGTGCAACCAATGTTCGATATTTCTTTCGATTCTTGCATTGTTACCATTGGCTTTTAGGTTATTAGTTTAAATTCACCCAAAATCAATCCCAATCAAGCGAGTAGAATGTGTAGGACTCTATTTCCGGTTGTGTGGCTTTGAGGACTAGATAGTGAACGAAGCTCCGAAGAGCCTTCCTTTGAGAACGACCCGAGTCGGGTAACTCTGTTACCACATGCCCAAAAATACTACAAACATAAGGTACACAAATAATTAACATGAATTTGGATTTCCTCGCGTCCCGAATGTCAATAATAGACTCCATATGAAAAAATAAAGGAACACATCTATTCATGATATAAGATTGTGTTATTAAGTGTGTAAAAATAAAGTAACCACCTTGTGCTCTGTGCCTCAAGCACCCTGCAACTCTGCAGGGAAGTTTACGCTTGAGGAGATGCACATTCATATATAAAAAAATCAACATACTTGTTGCATACCTGTACTGCAGCAGTAACCATAAGAGTAGGCAGAGTAGATAAGGCCACAAATGCTAGCCGCACTGCAGAACCAGCCCAATGAGAAAACCAACTACAACAGCTGCACTATCTTGTAACATTGAAAGTTGGTTGCTGAAAGCAGCTCTCACAAATGTAGCATCATTCACCGTGCGACAGGACAGGTTATCTGCACTGTAGGCTAAATGTTTGTGAATTAGAAAACTCTCATTCTTAGGATCAGACGTCAAAAGTGGGGAAATATGAGATTCGGGATATGAAGCATTTGTTTGTAGATGTGTGGGATGAACATCAATCTTGGGTAACTCAGGTAATCGCATCTCGAAACTATCCCGCCTCTTTATTGTTGGTTCTATAGCCGTCAAAACATTTTCAATCAATTCTTCTGGGAGTAAAAGCTCAGAATTTTGGGACTCCTATGTAATATCAACAACCCGAAACATGGGGTGGCCAGCAACAGGTAAATGACGCAAATTGTAATTATTTCAGTTGTTGCTTTTCTTATAAACTGAGACTAAACAATTTTTGTACTTTATGTTCTATCTTGTGCCGAATATGAAGTTGGGAATCAAGTAATTGGAATTATTAGCAGATTGGGGGTATTTATGGTTCAGACATCAAGCTTCCTAAAGTGGTCTTTACGTTAGATGATATCCCATGATATAATTTTTGTCGAATTTTTTAATTTTTTAATTTATTTTTGTGCTTGCTGAAAGATACCTACAGTTGGTCTCTACACCTACCTGACCAACTACACAATGCTTTGCTTGTGGATTGGAAATGCGATAAAGTACTTCTTCCTTGAGTTTAACCATACCTTTTCCGCTTTTCATCATCGCACAAATGTTTAAAACTATTATGGTCTTTTGGTTTTTCGTGTCTTTACGTGATGTTTTGTAATCAAATTCTTGACATGTTCTTTTGTGATGAATGATCTGTAATTATAGTGTATTTGCTTTCGGTTGTATGGATAGCAAGGGTTTATATGAATTATTCGTCGGTAGTTATTTATGTATGTAATATAAGCATCTTGTTAACATTTGTATTTGGAATCTTCATATGAATCTTCATAAAGTTGTTTATGGCCCTTAGCTCATCTTCGTTATTGTGTTCAACATACGCTCTGTTTTATTTTAGGGGATTGCCCCACAAAGACATATCTAACTGCTGTTTTGGACATCCTTTGTCCACCTAACTTGATGTTAAATAAACAATATCATGTGCTTGGACATCCTTTGTCCACCTAATTTGATGTTAAACAAACAATATCATGTGCTTGATGGGAGGACGATGCACAAGGACCGAGCTTCTTATAAGCTCGCGGACGAGGAGTTGAAAAACGAGCAGAACAAGACTCCCGGATAGACAATAGAATTGTGTGTAGTTATAGATAAATCTTAAAATTGGCTGATTTTAGATTTAGTTTCTCTAAATTCGGAGTGGACAGACAATAGAATTGTGTGTAGTTATAGATGAATCTTAAAATTGGCTGATTTTAGTTTTAGTTTCTCTAAATTCGCACAACAATTAGTTGATATGTACAATTGCAATTATTATATGTCAAGGTCTTCTATCTCATTCTTACTATTTTTGGGAGCATGTAGAAAATTGTAAAGGTAAATTTGGTCAAATTTTAACTTGATTATGGACTAAAATTGAGTCATGTGCATGCACAGCCGTAAGGCGACTAGTATACATATTTAATTGTTGACAAAAAAAATTATGAATAATTGTTTTCATTTTTTTCTCTTTTTTTGTATTTTGTATTATTAAAGTAATTATAATTTTATTTGTTTATTTATAATAGCCACTACTAACTAATCATAAAGTCACATTTATATGTTATTTTTTTGTTTCAAACTTTTTATTTAATCTATTATTTATTTTTAGTTCATTAAACAAGTTTTTTAATTAAAATTAGTTAATTATTTCTTTTATGTAATAATTAAATCCCTTAAAATTTTGTATAAAATTGCTAATAATAATTTCAATATTGTTTTATCTAATTAGTTGGTCATAATCAATGAAGAATGCAAAAATTATGTTTTTGAGATCAATATAAAGATTAATATGTAAGTTAAATATTTATATTTATATGATTAATTTTATACTAATGTTTAAAACTATAAAATGTGATATGGTCATGATCTAATTCATTGAGAAATACAAATCAATCATTCTTATGCATCATAACTTTAATTCATTATTCATCCACTCACATAATTTTACCTACTCAATACTTCTAATCTGCTCTATCACACTTTTATACAAAATCAACATTAATTATTTTATTTTAATACAAATTGAAAATCTAATTCAAATCTAACCTAAAATTTTTTTTCAAAATTAATTCTAACTGATATGACACCCGTGTACTACACGAGTTGTTTGGAAAAAGAATATAAAACATAAAATAATAGAAAAAACACATGTTGTCGTAAAAAATTGCAAAAATAGAAATACCACCTTTTGTTTATAAATATATTAATTGATAAATAATTTTATTTTTTTAATTAATATAAAAAAATTATTATTGTTATAAAGATAAATATAATTTATTTCCATGTAAGCTTCCGAAGTGTGCGAGCCAGCCATTTAGGCTCAACACGTTTTGAAATTATATTAACGGGGGATGAATATCTCTTACTCGTGCACTTTATAAGCTGTAGTTATTATATTTATGAAATTTATAACAATCAGATAAATGGCATGCACGCATAAGTGTTAGTGTGAAGGTATAAAATTAATTATAAATCAATAATTTGTAATACAAAATCAAAATAAATATTTAAAAATATGAATTCGTGCACATTAAAAATATACACTATTCATGAAAAAATTGCATCGACCTAGCAATATTCGTGAAAATAAATATTCATGAATAGTTGTTACAGATCAATAAAAAAGTCTTACTTTTCTATATATAAATTATTTTAAAACATTTGTATAAATATTTTGAAAACATGGTGTAACACCCCGCCTTGACTAGCTTTGACTTTTGAAAATCAGAGGTAATTTTTCGCGTTTTATTTTCGAAATCGTGTGCGAGTTTATTTTCGAAAATATTTCTTATCTTGTGGGATGCTACTAAAACTTACTTATCTTACTTAGTCGGACAAACATATAACATACAACTCGTCTGCCGATCTGCAGCGACGGTGAATACATACATACATACATACAGTCCGAGTGTCTCGCACATACAGTCTAACGGAAGCAATGAATCATCATACATATATATAAATAAGGGTTCATGAATGTGGGACATAAATCAACGGTAAAAATGTCCATGGCTCATGACCACATACGCCCTGATACGCTCACCCGGCCCGCTGGACTCCATCACCTGAAAAACATAATGGGGGCGTGAGCAAACCACTATGCTCTGCAAAGACCAGTACTGAATAAAACAGCATCATGACTAAAATATGTAAGAGCATAAACTGAAAACTTATTCTTGTATCTGTGGTCTCAAAGACCCGGATTGGCCTTTAGGTCGGTCGGCTCGCGTACACACCCGATAAAACTGAAGGCCCTTAGGTCGGCCACTGCGGGTACCAGGGAGACTAAAACGGCCCTTAGGTCGGCCTCTCACCTGGGTGATTATACTGTCTCGAACATACCGTAGACATGGTAAAGAAATTAATGACAATGTAGAATCCAGTACATGACCCCCACCTGGTAACTGAAAATATCTGGATTGATGCAAGTGCTCGGAACTGAGGTAGCGGTCGGAGGCTCGACTCTCCTTAGGCTACATAAACATATACGTAAAAATATGCTTAAGTATTGTGCTCAAAATAATTATTTCATATGTTTGACTTAGATGCTCGATCCGGATAATTTAGACTGTTATGGGATTTTTCATAACCGAAATACAACTCGGATCGGAACTTACGAACCAAAAATCGAGGCTCGAACAGCCGGTCGAACCAGACGGTTCACGGACTGGCCGGACCGCCGGCTCGGCTAGGCCGGGCGGTCGGGCGCTACCCGGGCTGACCGGGCTTGGTCATGGGTGCTGCGGCGCGGGCTGGCACGATGATGCGGATGTGGTCATTAACCCCGGCAAACCCGAGGACGAGAACCATGATGGCCTCGAGAGATGGCGAGAGGTTAGGCGAGAGAGGGCTCGGGCACGGGCTAGGAGGGTGTGCGCACGCACTAAGGCGCGTGTACCGACGGGACGCAGCAACCGAGCCGCGAGGCGTGCGAGCCTAGGCCGGGTGAAGAAGAGGTGCGCGACGAGTAGTGCGCACGAGCACGAGGCATGGGCTGACGACGAGAGTCAGATGATTGTGCCCGGGAAGGTGGGTGATTGGTGCAAGGCGTGCGCAAGAGAGCGACGCGCACGGCGAATGCGAGCAAAGGCCAATGGTGCACGAGGGGTGGATGTAGGGTGGTCAGCGTGCACGGGGCGTGGCTGCGAGGGAGCGGACACGCGAGTGGATTGGGTCGAGGCGATGGGCCCGATAGGCGGGTGCGAATGGACGGAAGCCACGCGCGAGGCGTTGGTCGAGTGGGTCGACGAGGGCGATGAAGTGGTCGTGCGCGACACACGCGCACGTGGCTGGGACGCGACCAAAGCGATGGACGAGCGAGAGAAGGACGCCGAGCGAGCGGGCGTGAGCGACACTCGCGCGAAGGACGAACACGCACGGGCACTGGGACGCAAAGACGAAACGCGGGAAGGACGTGAGCGATGCCTTGCGCGACCAGGACTAGCGGGCGGTGCGAAAGGCGCGCGCGCGTTACCGCACGCGAGGAGAAATAGGCAAGGCGAGGCGGCGCATCACGGACGACTAGGGTTTTGGTGCGCGCGCGACTTGGGGTGCAAGCAATGGATATGGACGTGATTTACTTAGCTTAGTTAGGAGTCATAGTTTGGGTAGGAATCCAAATAAAAGGCATGTGCCTATTAGTTTCCTATTAGTATTTTAATTGTTAGGAAAGTCCATATTCCCTAGATGTTTAATTGCATTAGGAATTATTTACTTGCATAGATTAGGAGTTCTATTTAGACTAGGATTAGATATATTTGGTATCTATAAATACCCACCTATGTACCATTCGAAAATATGTGGATGAGTGAATAGAAAAGAGTCGAAGATTATGTTCAAAGTTCTCGTGTGTTTTCTCCTGTGAGTTTACATAGAGTTCGTGAATGGAATAGGACCAACATCCGAGTTTCTTCACAGTGATAGAAATAGGACCAACATCCGAGTTTCGTCACACCTATAGCGAAGTACGAAGGCGTCGGCGCGCGTATTAGCAACCTATTGCGAAGGGACCAAGGCGTCGGCGCGGGTTTCAAGCAAGTCGAGTTAGACGTAACACACGATCCTTCATCACACGACCCTGGCGCTGGTCGTGCCCCTCGGGTGCAGTGGTGCTTTCATTGAGAGTGATTGATCGTGTGTTGGGTTGAACTTTTTCTTCCCCATTCTATTTTCTTTTGTTTCGAATTTTTTCGAGAGTATCAAAAAAAAAAAAAAAAAAGAGAGAGTCGAGATGATGACACACAAGGAGAGGATCGAAGCCTTGGAGGAGAGTGTGAAGTCCATCGGCAATGGCCAACACCTTGTCAATGAGAATTTTGCTAAACTCGAACTCATGGTGCATGATCTAGCCGGGCAACTCACGCGCATGACACGTCGACCGCGAAGGAGTCACACCTCGCGATCGACCGCGGCATCGAGCAGCCCTGGGACCGACCACGACGACGATGACGGACGATCACGGAGGACCCCGCGCATCACGCGCGATGCACCACCACGACGACCGAGGCTATGCACGACCAAAGCTCACGATGCCTACATTTACGGGGACCGACCCGGACGCTTGGTTGAATAGAGCCACGCAATTCTTCGAGATCAACGAGGTGCACAAGTCCGAGAGAGTCAAGA